AACATACATGTTGGAGAAAGAAACATCACAAAATCAGTCAATATTAAAAAAAATGTTGTTTCTTTTTTCTTCTTGAAGAATATTTGTTTGAAGAGTCAATTTGCATAAATGGACATCAAACAAATAACAAAACTATGGTTATACAATTGCTATCATTAATTTCAATTTAGCACAGTCAAAGAATTGAAGGGTATAAGCTGAAATCCCTTCATTTAGCTGTAGTCAAGCCGATGTTGCAAGGGTATAATATGATTTCGTTGAAGAAATTAGTTTTGAATCATTAGATTACGTGAAATGTTTTTTTTCAAACTCAACAAGAGATAAATTGGTTTTTAATTGATAGTTTCTATAGTGACTTTTAAGTGTAACAAAGAGTATATATAAAAAAAAATTGGTATGACGTGAAATATTATTTTTTTAAATGTAAACAAATTATTTCGAAAAAAGTCTTTACTTATTTAATTCAAATATAATAAAAAGATAAAAAAAATTTGAACATTAGTAGAAAGTTTTAAAATTATTATAATTGAAGTTATATCATGGATAAACTCAAAAAAATCGAAATCTTATGGAATATTTACATAATATTTGGCCATATTTATTGTTTACTTTTTATAGCTAATATAAATAGATGATATACTGACAACACACAATTATACATATATTATATATGAATTATATATAAATTATACATCATTCAATTTTTTTAATTTAAGTGGTCGGGTGAGCACCTATTTAAGCTGATTAGATAAAGCCAAAAGAAAAATATGAAATAATTTCAACTAAAGACTAAAAATATAATTAAAGTTCATATGTAGACAATTTTTATTAAAATTCATCTTTTTATAGTAAAATAAATTAATTTTTTGTAACAAAAGAAATAATGACATAAAAAATAAGATAAAAAAAAATAAATATTGAAAAAAATGTTAGAAAGATCTAAAAACGAGAAATAAAAGATGACAACAAATTTCTTCTTATGTTTCATCTTTGTTGAGTATAAAAAATTTGAAAGTTAATCTCATCGATTTCAAATATATTTTATTTCGACTCAAATACGTAGATTATAAGATAAGGATATCTTTGAATATTTTTTGTAATTTACATTATGTGTCGTTTTTAAAAAATTACTATTACTAACAAACTCATATGATATTCAAATTTGAATTGGAATGCAATTTGAGTAATTAGTATGATATTGAAAAATAAACTACTTGACAATTTTAAGACAATATATGTCATGTTTTATAATAATAATAATAAACTAATTTCACATTTAATGATTCAAAGAACAAAATTTTTGTATATAGAGGGCATTAAAAATTCAAATTTTGGGGCTAGAAATATCGATAAACTTAAAGTGGAGTCATACTGAAATAAATTCGGCCAAAGAATCATTTAAATTTTTAGATAGCATATTAAAGTGCATTTTAAATTAAGGATAATATCTTTACTTGCATCATTATAAAAATAATTATTATTATAATATATACAAAGTTTTAAAAATTGAAATTTCAAAATAGAAATATTTTTTGAAAGGTAAAATCATACCAAATAAGAGTTCATGTCGTAGTATAAAAGTCACGTTGTAATCAAAGAATCGCTTATATCGTGTCAACCTTTGTGCTTTGCCATAAATATGAGTTATTGTTTCACTTTGTGGCTATTTTTAGGTTCCAGTGACACTTATGAGAATAGTGCAAAAATAAAATTATCACTACGATAATTGAGAAAATGTTAGTCTTTTTTCATGTAGTGTTTCTTAATTAATATCTGACGATTATCTATAATTATTTAGAAGGTTTAAATGTTAAGGTTATTTACATATAATTCAAATAACTTAGATATTTAACATGGTTAATGTCAGATATCAAAATGGAGTAAAAAAATTCACTAGCTAAAGAATTGTTTATATTTTTAGATAGCCAACTAAATGAGTTTTGAACTAAGAATAATATTTTCAATTACATTATTATAAAAATAATTATTATTGAAAAATTTTATGTTTTAAAAACTAAAATTTTAAGAAAGGAATATTTTTTAAGAGATATCAACACACCAAATAAGAGTTCAAGTAGTAGTAAAAGAGTTAAGTGTTATCGAAAGAGTCATTCATTGTCTCAACATTTGATTGTTTTGCCATAAATATGAGTTATTATTTTGCTTCCTGACTATTTTTAGGATCCAATTAGACCGGCAAAAATGGTATCAAAAAAGAAAAATAGAAGAAATGATTAATTTTTTTCATGTAGTTAATATCCAATGATTATCTATATTTACCGAGAAAGTGTAAATTTTAAGATTATTTGCATACAATCCAAATAAACTTAAATATTTGACATAATTAGTGTCCGCGCATCCGCGCGAGTACTAATACTAGTATTTATAAAGTTCAAAATATTGGGCTAGAGATTTATATATATTTTGAGTTGCTACATATTAGTAGTTTTTACTTAGTTAAAATATAGAAAACATTAATGATCAACCTATTTTTAAAATTTCAAACTCCTAAATATTAGAAAAATAACCTAAATAACAATTTAGTCCATTATAAAATCAACAAATAAAAGGTAAAAAGCGAACAATATTATATCCAAATGATAATTTCTTACTTATTCTTTGTTGACATTGTTATTTTTGGTGTCCTTGTTCGTCATTATATCCAAACTCATTTTTCTCATTTGAACTGATGATATAATAATTTTGATCGAATTTTTCAAGTTAAAGAGAAGATAATATATCTTGATATTCTCGATTATTCTTTGATCCAAAGAAAAATTATTGAAGTGTGTGCAACTTAATTTGGTGATATTCAATATTCACGATTGTTATTAGATCTTGATAAATAAGGAATTGAATTTAAATTTTTTCTTTACTTCTTAGGATATGAATTTGACTAAAGATTATTTTACGCAATTCATATAAGAAAATAAGTTATATAAATTAAAATTGTTTGATGTTGAATTTCTAAATATTAGAACTCCCTCCGAATAATCCAAATAAATAAAGATTAATAGCAAAATGTTAGTTAATTTTAAATTTTTAATGTTATAAATATAATTTGAATGATATAATATCTGACATAAAATATAACTTACATGTTATCCATCATTAATGATTAAAAAATTTATATTAAAAATAGCAAATTTATAAATCAACTTAAACTCGTTGTGCACATATAAAAATTTGGATTAACATTGAAAAATGCTAATGATTCCTACAAAAATTAAAACGAAGGCAGAAACTTGTAAAAGTCTTTTGTTATAATTCTAAAAGTGTTAAAACTTGTAAACATGAAAGAGTCAAATTTGAGGAAAATTGTTACACGATTTAAATAAGGAAAAATATTTATAAGTAAAATTTTACTCAATTTAGATTCTTACATATTAGGAGTTTTTAGATACCTTAAAGGAAAAATATTTAATAAATAAAATTTAGCTTATCTTAAAGTCCTACATATTAGGTAAATAATTAAACTACAATTACAATTTTGTCCAATGTAAAGTTTATTTTTAAAGGGTAAAAAAGGCGAATGACATTTCGTTAAGGATCTTCGTGCTTTTAATATAGTATAGACTAGTTTATATGTACGCGCGTTGCGCGTGTACCTTTTTTTTTTTATATATAAAACAAATTCATAAATTTAATATTAAGGTTAAGCTTTTGAGTTATAAAATAAAGATGTATGTACCTAATGATTGTTTATCCTATATAGTTAACTTGATAATGAAATGTAGAAGTTTTCGACCATCAACAGATGTATTTATATTTCTGTTTACCATTTCGTTTTCACGTACACATGGTAAGTAATTTAATAGTACTTAGGTTTTTGCACTTATTTGTTCTTGTAATTTAAAAAGTATCTAGTTCCAAATTCAAATATATATTCTAATTAAAGAAAAAAGCATGCAAACAAAAAACGGGGAGTGTATTTTGAATGCATTAGCTTTAAAATTCTAATTTCAGTCATAATTCTATCAACAAATAAATTAGGTTAACTTTTAATATGAATTCCATTAAACTCTAATACCTTCCATTGAATTTTAATTTCTTTTATGTCTAGAACACATTGAAGAGAGTTTTAATTTTATTCGTCGAACTTGCTAGAATAATTCTATCCAACTTGTGTAACTTACCAAAGTTAAAGGAAATTTTAAAAAAAATACATTAAGATGCGAAAACTTTTTAAAAGGCTACTCAGTCGGTGTCTTGTCGAACCACCTATTTTATGCATAGCCTACCGTACATAATTGTTAAGCTCAACGGCCTATTTTCTATGCAAGATTAAACCTAAATAATAATCAAACCATATTATATATAGCATAAGCAAGAAACAAGAAGCAAATTAAATTTACAAAAAAAGAAAAAAAGAAAAGAACAGAGCTTAAAGAGATTGCATGAGATCTCACCTTTTGGATATATAGAACATCAACTATAAGACGATGAAGAAAAGTTAATATTGATCCATTATAATCAAATGTGTTCCAAACAGATACTAACAATTCAATTATGTTCAACAAAGAGACAATTTCACCATGAAAATTTGAAAGTTAAAGTTATAAAAGTTTCAAACCTAGTTTGTATTGACGGAGAGATCGACTTTATTTACAGTTAAGAATTTATTATACTACCAAACAAAATAGAAGAGAGAATTCTGAAATATAAGCATTACTTACAATTTATTAATTCAGTACAGGATTATAATTTTAAAGTTTTAAATATTAGGACTTTGACATAGTTATCAATAAGGAAAGATTTAAAAAATAATATTTTATTTGATTTTAAAGTCATAAATATTAGGAAAATAACTAAAATTATAATTTTGTCCAATATAAAATTTATTTTTAAAGGGTAAGAAAAGGCGAACGAAATTTTAGTAAGGGCCTTCGTACTTTCAATATACTATACATATATAGATAGATACATAGATATAGATAGATAAATATATAATGATAATCAAAAACATATAATCTAATTTTTCTATTCCTTTTTCCCTTACCCAAAAACCAATCTAATAAAACATTTCAGCCTCATATTTACAGACTTCAGCCAACACTGAACACACTCTCATGGCGTCAAATCCAATTCCTCCTCCATCATTCAGACCACCAAGAACCGACCCATTAACCCGAAAGAATCTCACTATACCCGGGTCCAAACCCAGTGACCCGAATTATTCACTGAAGCTTGAGAAGCTAAAGGAGAAAGAAGCAAAAGAGAGAAAAGAAGAAACCAATAAAAAGATAGCTTCACAAAAAGCCATATCTATAATTCTACGTAGAGAAGCTACAAAAGCAGTTATTGAGTACAAGAAAAAGAAAGGGAATTCTAAGAAGCTTTTGCCTCGTACTGTTCTTGAAGCTCTTCACGAACGTATTACTGCTTTGCGTTGGGAATCTGCTCTCAAGGTGCGATTTTTTTTAGTTATTTTGAGTTTTTTACTCTCTTTATTTTGAAATCCAAGTTGGAATTTTTCTGGGAATTGATAATTATAGTGCATTTTTTTGGATATTTATATCATTTCTGGGTACAATCATAACTGCACATGGTACAATGGATGAAGCACATATTGAGTTTTTAATTTTGGAACTGAAGTTGGAATTTTTCTGCGAATTGATAATCATGGTGCAATTTTGGTTAAGAGTGGTGCAATTTTTGATAAGATCTGATGCAATGTTTTGTTTGGACTGAAGAAGGTACTATTATAACTGGATATTGTACAACACATTTGAAGCACTTGTTGATTTTTTATTAATTTCTTAATTTTGGAATCCAAGTTGGAAATTTTCTGGGAATTGATAATGATGGTGTAATTTTTTGTTTGCCTGGACTGAGGAAGGTACTATTATAACTGCAGATTGTACAACACATTTGATGCACGTATTGAGTTTTTAATGCTCTTTTTGTTTCTTCACGTTGGAGTCCAAGTTGGATATTTTTCCGGGAACTGATTATGATGGTGCAGTTTTGTCTGGACTGAGAAATGTAGAATCATAAGTTCGTAACATGTTACTTTGTTCAAGTTGATTCATGCTGCATTGCTAGGAGAGTGGTTTCTACGAACCAAATGCCATTGCTGAGCATATGAAAGATGATTTCTGTTTACTGATTTTTTATGTTCATGTGTTACCAGACCCCACTTTGTGGGAACTCACTGGGTTGTTGTTGTTGTATGTTTATGTGTTAGAGGAAACATTTGGTTATGTTTTGGCGGTGATTAAATTCTGTAGAGGCGCCCAAAGCATTATCATGATTCCTTTTTGGGCTTTCAGGTCTTTGAACTCCTCCAGGAGCAGCTGTGGTACAGGCCCAATGCTGGTATTTATATCAAATTAATTGTCATGCTTGGGAAATGTAAGCAACCCGAAAAAGCTCAATCCCTATTTGAGATGATGGTGGAAGAAGGCTGTGTCATGAATCAAGAAGCTTATACTGCTCTTTTGTCTGCCTATAGCCGTAGTGGTCTTTTTCACAAAGCTTTTTCTATCCTAGAAGAGATGAAGAACACTCCAAACTGCCAACCCGATGTCTACACATATACTATCCTGATAAAGTCCTGCCTTCAGGTTTATGACTTCGATAAAGTGCAAATCCTGCTTTCGGACATGGATTATATGGCAATTAAACCCAATACAGTAACATATAATACACTCATTGATTCCTATGGCAAAGCAAAAAGGTTTGGTTACTTTTCAGCGTTATAGTTCTATTTCTGATTTTCCACCTTAGCTGACAAGAAAGTTTTAATTATGCACAACTGGAACTTGAGTTTTCTACCTGGTTGTGAAATGAGCTCCACGACGTTATCTAACTTTTGGCGTTGTGCTATCTTTGCTTACTAAAATGTTTCATACTGTTGATATCATTTTCTGGACACAAGTGTGCGCTTTAGTTGTATTGATAGGGAAATTGATTCGGTTATTCTTTTAATTGCCAAAGGTTCAAAGAGATGGAATCCACACTTGTTGAAATGCTGCGGCGAAGAGACTGCAAACCAGATGTGTGGACCATGAATTCAACATTGAGAGCGTTTGGTGGCAGCGGGCAAATAGAAATGATGGAAAAATGCTACGAGAAGTTTCAGAGCGCTGGAATCGAACCCAGTATCAAGACCTTCAACATACTCTTAGATTCATATGGGAAAACAGAAAATTATGAGAAAATGAGTGCTGTAATGGAGTTTATGCAGAAATACCATTTTTCATGGACGATAGTTACTTACAATATCGTAATAGATGCATTTGGAAGGGCTGGGGATTTAAAGCAGATGGAATTTCTTTTTAGGCTGATGCAGTCTGAGAGGATAAAACCAAACTGTGTTACTCTTTGTTCACTTGTAAGAGCATATGGGAAGGCTGGTAAAGCTGAAAAAGTCGGAGCTGTTTTGCGATTCATTGAGAATTCTGACGTGGCACTTGATACCGTGTTTTTTAACTGCCTAGTGGATGCGTATGGGATGCTGGGATGCTTTGTGGAGATGAAAGGGGTGCTCGAGATGATGGCAAGAAGTGGATGTAAGCCAGATAAGATAACGTACAGAAGTATGATTAAAGCCTATTCAGTAAATGGAATGACTAGCAAAGCAACAGAGATGCGAAGCCTACTTGCCTCATTGGAGAAGGCGTGATAGCTTCATAGTTGAAAGGGCTAGGTATTCCAATGGACAATAAGGTGTTTTAACGATCACATGCCGTTGGTACGATAACTTCTGAGATGCTGTTGTTGTGGCTTCAGATACAGGTGCAAGAGTTCTCAGTCGCCTCAGCGTTGAACTGAATACTGTCGATGAAGGAAAAGGATTGTCACTAAACAGCTTAATTTGTCGATGAACACAATCAGGTAAATTGTTAAAGTGCCTTGATATACAACCAGGTCTGGTGTACCGTCTCTTTTCCCCTTTCAATCCCATAGGATTCAGTGCCTAAATTCTTGTTTGTTCCTGCATAAAATTTATCCCACACCATCATTGATTGTCTAATACAAGACTCTGTAGTATGACTGTTAAGATTACATCGTCTAGTGGGAATTTTCCCCATTGACCTTTTACCTGGATAATCATACTGACAAATAGGGGAGACTGACAAAATACCTTTTCTATTTGTCTATGGATTTCCACAAAATATGTGACCAGGAGACCACGGGTTCGAGCTGTGAAAACAGCCTCTTGCAGGTAAGGCTGCGTACAATAGACCCTTGTGGTCCGGCCCTTCCCCGGACCCTGCATAGCGGGAGCTTAGTGCACCGGACTATCCTATGAATTCATTTTGCTTAACAGTTATTTGCAAATCAGCTTTTTGTATTTCAATATGCTGAAGTGAGTCATGGTGCCACCGTGAATTATGCGTGTGAGTTTTTGTGAAAACCTACCCGTGCGTTTTTGGTTTATGGAAAGCATTTTGATTAGTTTTCTGGAAACCAAAGAGCTTTAATAAACGAGCCCTATTGCTCCCATTTTATCAGTTTCTGGCTCCTATTACCCTCCCAGGACCTCACCTATGTGATTTGTTGTTGTTGTTATTATTATTATGTTAAGTAATGTCCCTGAAATTGTATTTACTGATCTTGTCAGCTGGAACTGGACTATGGTCAAGAGGAGCAGTCAATGCAGCTTAGACCACCAACACAGAATCAGTTTTCCAAGTCCATGATTAGGCTTCCATCAGTCTCTTGAGGCTCAATTGAAGTAGCAGTCAAACAATTGTCTTTCTCAGATGTGCCTAAGAAATATTCACTATGACAAACAACAACAAACCGAGTGAGGGGAAGGTAGTGTGTACACATACCTTACTGCCATCTTGTGAAGATAAAGAAGCTGTTTCTGATAGACGTTCGACTCAGGAAAAGCATAGTCACAACATTGTTGAACTATTCACTATGGCAAAATCATAGTTATATCTTAGAATGATTACATATCTAATTAGAAGGGGAGCCTTGGCATAATTGGTAAAGTTGCATGTGATCAGACAGGGGCGGAGGCACGTTGAGCCAAGTGGTGTCATCCGACACCGCTTGGCCGGAAATTTTTATTTATTAATATATATGTAAATAATCTGAAAAAGAAAATATAGTCTAAATAAATAAATGGCACAACTTGAGTTAACAACTATATTGGTCCGTTGGTGAAGTAATCCAGTTTCTGCTTGTGGTCCAGCGTTCGACTCTCCATAGTTTTAACAACTTTTTTCGTAATATTTTGGTATTCTTCTGAAATTTTTTTGAAAGAAGCAGCGTCCTATTGAGTAAATGTTTGCTGCCTTATATAGATTTTTTTGGTTATATTTGTACTGAGTCTATTATGAGTACATTTTATAAAAATAAAAGTTCGTGGGGGAGAACTGTACTACTATATTTGAATTGTGTTTTTCTAAAGTATGATTTTATTAAAGTAATTTTTTCATTTGTACGCCTCTCTAAATTTTGACACCGCTTAAAAAAAATTCTGCATACGCCCCTGTGACCAGGAGGTCACGAGTTCGAGCCGTGAAAATAGTTTCTTGCAGAAATGCAAAGTAAGACTGCGTACGATAAACCCTTGTGGTCTGGCCTTTCCTCTAATCCATGTACAGCGGGAACTTAATGCGGGCTGCCCTTTTATCGCTTATCTAATTGAACCATGATGTTATGCCTTTCCTTTTAACTTTCTTTGTGTTTAAGAAAATCGTAAATGGTTTGGTCGTTGTTTTCAGCACATAACTAGTCAATTCTAATCACTAATCCCTTGGAATATTCTTCACTAAAATCAAAATTATGTCAAACTACGTAATGTAAAATGGGAAGAATTTTCAAGCAGTACCATCAATGGCTTACCTGATGGGTACATTTACATATATAAAAATTATTAAAATTGTCCTAGCGTTCCATCTCATTAAACAATGTCAAGATGTCAAAGTTCCTAACAAAGAAAGAGTAAAAAATAAAATTAAAAAAAAGATACAATGACTGTATAAAACCAAATTCTCACGAAACAAAAAAGAGAATTGCAAATTTGGCTCCCTAAGTATAGATAATCTCTAAATTTGGTCTTAATCTTATCGATTGAGCACACAACACATTTCCTTCTTGTAATTTCCTGAATTTAATCATTGACACTAACGTCTGAGTTAGTAACATCCTAATTATGCATCACTAGTATTAAGTTTTAACAAACAAACGTGTAAGGAGATTTAATTCATTTTTGACACGCACATGCAGTGGCGGATCCAGAATTTTAAAGTGATGGGTGCTCGCCGATAAAAAATCCGAAAGAACAGGAAAAAAAAGTTTAGTTATGGGTGCTCACTCTATATTTATCTAACTATTTTTATAATTGCCTATGCAAATTTACTAAATCCGGTTAAAAGTAATGAGTGCTCAAGCACCCATAAGTATCCATGTACATCCGCCACTGCGCACATGTACCATTTCATCAAATCAATCCATAATATTCAAAAAACTTAATTATAGAGAAAATGACATTGTATAGTTGCTATTAAATAATAGTTGAAACAATGTGTGTATATATATAAATTTTATATACACTTTTTCCGTTACCGAATGTAAATATTTTTTGGTGCGGACTAAAAGTGAAAACTCTCTCAATTATACGCTCAAATAGGCAAATGATGTCCTTAATTAGACAATCTGACAGTCAAGAGGTAAAATACTAGTCGTATTGTCATGGGTTTATCTCAACATTTAAGAGTTTTTCTTTCTTTTTTCGGGATTCGTTATTCAGAATCTCTAACCCGACTAATTTAAATTCGTACGGGCCAATAGCTAGCTATGGATATTTTAGTGCCTCCAACTTTATTCCACCAAAATATTCGGTGGCTAAGAGCCTTTTATTATTCCCTATTAACTATATTAAAAAAAACTAACTATATGAGAAAGGGACAAAGTGGATTTTAACATACTGAAGGACCAACGTGTCAATACTTTCAACATAAGAAGAGTCATAGTTTTAACTTGTCAAACAACTAATGGTAACTACCTACATTCTTAATTAAATATTTTCAGTTTGAGCTGTGAGTATAGAGTCTTTTTGAAAGGAAGCTCTTTACTTCCAACCTCCAAAATAGAACTATTCAGCGTGGTAAATCTGAATTTATTAGGTCCCAAAGCGAATATAAACACGAGTTAAAAACCAAAAAAATAAATTAATTTAATAGCTGCTTTAAACTAGCGGATGTATAATATATGTATAGTTTGTATATTATATGTGTATAACTATATATGATTAGTTTGTAATCAAACTTCTCTATATCAACTTTATTTATTCATACTATATTTTTTGACTGCAATAGTGAAGTAATGTTATATAAACAACAATAATATACCAAGTATTATCTCACACGTGAGATCTGGAAAAGTATAATCGTATAGTGAAGTGTTATTATAAAGTATGATTGTTATAAAGATGTTTCTATAATCTAACTTACGTATACCAACTAGGAAAAGTAAACAATAAATTTAAATGGTTATTTGTGTAAAGATACACAGAAAAATAAGTAATAATAGTACTAGTACTATTTCATTTTAGTCCCCATTAAAATGTGAAAAAACAGAGAAAAGTATGCAAATGCTTTCTCGCATTTCAGCTTCATCCACCGCCCTCTTCCACCTCCGTTCTTCTCTTCTCCGACCCAGATTCTATTTTTCCCCAAACAACCCCTTTTCGTTCCCAATTCAACCCCATCTCCGCCGTCCATTGTTTTCTTCATCCATGGACTCAGCTACTGCTGCCACCGTTGATTCAGTTGCTGACAATTTCAAGAACCAAAGTTTAGAAAATAATGATAGCAGTAATGACAAACGTTTGTTGAAACTTGAAGAGCTTAATTGGGATCATTCTTTTGTTCGTGAACTTCCTTCTGATTCAAGAACCGATACCATCCCAAGAGAGGTTTCTTCCTTTTTTTTTTTTTGAAATCTTGATTGGTTTATTTATTTATTGTAGTTGTGATCTTTATTGAATTGCTGATTTGATTTGAATTGAAACTGGAAATTTCCCTTATGTATTAGAACTAATTGTAATTTTGTTAACTTTTTACTGGCAATTGATTTTTTGGAAAATTCCCAGGAAACCCGCAGCCGCTACCCTTCGGGTGCGCACGGGGTAACCTGCTCACCGTGCAGTAGCTTGCAAACCACACATGAGATATAAACCGCACTAGGCACGCCTTGTGCGACGAGCTATGAGGGGGGAACCACTCACCCGACCAACTCAGTCAACCCTTGCGGGCATTACTGGCAATTGTTGAAAATGATTATAATTAGGAGAGTTAATAAGAAGATGTTTGGCTAAGCTTATAAGCTCATCAAACTGGCTTATATATCTAAACATTCGGTAAACACCCAAATTACTTATAAGGCAAAATCAAGCAAAAGCCATATGTTGGTCAAGCACTTTTTTTACCAAACTAATCAACTTTTTATTATAAGTTTAAGCACTTTTATCCAAATACATAACTGCTTATTTATAAAACTAGTTTAAGCACTTAATGATATTTTTGATCACGTCAAGTTTATCAACTATTTACAATTATCTAACCCAAATGGGCGCTGAATTTTCTCATGGATTATTAGCTATATGAGGAAGGTTCATCTTTTGCCAGTTTATGAGACAGTTTCTTTGGCAACGTAACAAGAAAATAATAAGTGCTGCAGTCCCTTTCAATTTTAATTTGCGAAAATATATTTTGTTGCAAGTATTCCTTTTTGTAAATATTGTGCTTGCGAAAATTGTCTTGATAAAAATGAGTTGAAGTTTGATTCAATTGAGGTTCAGACACTAGGTGGACTTCTGTAATTTTCATTTGGCAATATTGGAATATTTTACAAGTTTGTTATTTTATAGACTTGTTTCATGGGTGGTAGCCGGATTAGGAAGATTACAATCTCTATTCGTAGTATGTCTGTATAGCAAGAAAAATGAAATCCGCATGTTCCATATGTATTAAGTGCTGCAGTCACCTATGAATTTGTCTACGATGAGAGATGATGTGGATTTCGTTCCGCAGGGGTGGAAATTATGTTGCAAGTTATTTAGTCGAGTCAAATATTGTGCTTATGCAGGTGTTGATTTGTTGCATAGGGGTGGAAATTATGTTGCAAGTTATTTAGTCGAGTCAAATATTGTGCTTATGTAGGTATTGCATGCTTGCTATACAAAAGTGTTGCCTTCTGTAGAGGTGGAGAATCCCCAGCTCGTTGTGTGGTCAGAATCAGTAGCAGAGCTACTTGAGTTGGATCCTAAAGAGTGAGGTTTTAATGCTTGCTGAAGATTGTCCTTTCTAATTGTGTTGTGACGGAAGTGACACTGAATTCTTTTTAACCTTTCAGATTTGAGAGGCCTGATTTTCCACTTCTGCTCTCAGGGGCATCACCTTTAGTGGGAGCGTAAGTATCCCTTCTCTAGTTTGGATTTTGCTTAAAATTTTGATTGTGGTACAGCATCTTAGGTGGAATTTACTTCTGCAGTGTGCCTTATGCCCAGAACTATGGAGGACATCAGTTTGGGACGTGGGCTGGTCAGCTAGGTGATGGTCGAGCAATAACACTTGGAGAGGTTTTGAATTCAAAATCCGAAAGGTGGGAACTGCAGCTAAAGGGTGCTGGGAAGACCCCATATAGTCGTTTTGCTGATGGTCTTGCAGTGCTTCGGAGCAGTATTCGGGAATTCCTCTGCAGTGAAGCAATGCACAGTCTTGGAATCCCAACTACAAGAGCACTCTGTCTTGTAACAACAGGAAAAGATGTCACTAGGGACATGTTTTATGAGTATGTTACTCTTACAGTTTTGTTGCCGTTTAATCTGCAAGGATACATTGAGATTTTTGTTGCATTTCCTCTCTCAATCTCCCTTTCTCTATATTTATATAGTTACATGCACAGTATGACTATCATTTTCCTTTTATAATGTATTTTTTATTCCAAGACTCTTTCGAAGAATGATGTGAACACAGTTTTTATGTTAAAATTGATGAGAACCACTGTGAACTTGTTTTACTGAGACTTGGAGTCTGAAAAAGGGATCCATGTTTTAGGATTATGCTATTTTTTTTTTGGGTCCATCCAAGTGTGTTTGTGTTTCCGCTGTTGACGACTCTGTTTTTCCCATGCAGTGGGAACCCGAAGGATGAGCCTGGTGCAATTGTCTGTAGAGTTGCTCAATCCTTTTTGCGTTTTGGCTCTTACCAACTACATGCCTCTAGGGGTAAAAAGGATCTTGAGATTGTGCGTACTTTAGCAGACTACGCCATTAGACATCACTTCCCTCATCTAGAGAACATGAGCAAGAGTGAAAGCATATCATTCAGCACAGGCGAAGAAGATGATTCGGCTGTGGATTTAACTTCAAACAAATATGCAGGTAAATTTATTGGTTATCCTGAAGGGGACATAGGGGTGAAATGTTTGTGCCTATTCTAAATTTAATCTCCTTAATACTGAATTGAGTATGGCCAAAGAGAGTATTCTCGTTTGCCTCTTGATGAGTAGTCCTTGTCTCAAAAGTTCCATCATCAGCAAAACTCCTGATGATATGCTTTAGTCAAGGTTGAGGGACTTGTGACTTAAGTTAAAGGTTCGAGCCCTGCACCATTCAAACTAAGCCTGGTATTTAAGTGGAGAAAGGTGGAGGGCAGGCCCACTATCCGTGAGTTTTGAAGGCTGCGGTTGATCCTAAGGATTGGCCCCAGATGGATTTTTCGGTCATAAAAAAAGAAAAAAAGGTGCCTTATTGTCATCAAAAGATGCTACTTTTGGTTCTATAAGAGAAGGCTATAAGTTTTAGTTGCTCTTTGTAATGTTATTTTCAATTCATTTGACACCGGGAAGAAATAGGACTTGGAGTTTACACATGCATTCTTGTAACATAGTTCTAACTTCATTTTTCACTATACTCTGTGCCATTTATTGTGTGTGCTGTTATGGAATTGAAAAGCAAAAAAAAAAAAAAATTTAGCTGCATATTTGAAAAATTACTTTCCTCACATGTATTAATGTATGAGTATATTTTTTCAGCATGGGCTGTGGAAGTTGCTGAGCGGACTGCTTCTATGATTGCAAGGTGGCAAGGTGTTGGATTCACACACGGAGTGATGAATACTGATAACATGAGTGTGTTAGGCCTCACCATTGATTATGGCCCTTTTGGATTCTTAGATGCTTTTGATCTGAGTTTCACACCAAATACCACTGATCTACCTGGCAGAAGATACTGTTTCGCAAATCAGCCGGATATAGGTTTATGGAATGTTGCTCAGTTTGCTAAAACTCTATCTACTGCTCAGTTGCTAAATGATAAGGAGTCAAATTATGCCATGGAGAGGTGACACGAAATACTATAATTTACTAGGGTGTGTTCTTTATTGCTTGTATTTATCTTTTTACTGTTGACTGACATTTCATCTATTGACTTTTTAGGTACGGCATCAAATTTATGGACGACTATCAAGCAATCATGACGAAAAAGCTTGGTTTGGCTAAGTACAATAAACAAATGATTGGTGATCTACTTAAGAATATGGCTGTTGATAAAGTTGATTACACCAACTTCTTCCGATTGCTATCAAACGTCAAGGCCGATCTTACAATTCCAGCAGACCAGTTACTGATTCCTCTGAAAGCTGCTCTTTTGGATATTGGTATGGAACGCAAAGAAGCTTGGACAGGCTGGGTGAAATCCTACATACAGGAGGTATGTATCTTCTGCTTGAGCTCAGTCATAGTACATAGTAGTAAATAATGATGACAAAGTCATATCATCTTTTTTTAATGGCGCTCTGCTTTGTGTTTCTGTTTACTTGGTATACTGTAGTCCTGTTCATAAGGATCTACTATGCTATTTTATTATGCTTTTAAATTTTGTAGAATAACTTTTTACTCACCTGCACTGTTTCCCATAGAGGCGTAGACAGGGACTGCTGTAGGTGGAAATACCAAATTTTAATCTCCACGAAGATAACCTGCTTCATCTGTAGATCTATGTTATTTTTTAGGGCTTCACTATCTCTGCACCCCACCCCCTTACCCTCCCTGACCTCAGAGGCAAATATAGGATCTAAAGTCAGTGGGTTTAGGATGCGTTTGGTCTCTTATTATATGTATACTTTTAATCCCCCC